CAGACAAGACACTACCTTCTGACAAGAATGGTAAAAACTCGGGCCTGGGCTGCAAGTGCTGGTAGGGGTCACCCATGTGCATTAATTCCAGTTTGTTTGTTTGTTTGTTTTTTTCCTTTTTTCTCTTTTTGAAGTTTTGAAGATCATCTAATCTCTCCTGTTGATTTCACAATGGATTCCCATTGTGCCTATCCTATTATATGGAAAAACAAACAAACAAACTAGATGACCATTGCAAAACTCAGAGCTGGGACTCCTTGGAGCAATGGTTTAGTTGAGTTCTGGGGAAAATATACAAGATGGTCTAGAGTCCTTTATCATAGAAAAGCCTCACTGGTGATCTCACTTTTCGTTCTGAGGTGACCAATTCTGTTGTTTTCTGTGATGAGACTCTAGAGCAACATCTTGTACATGAGTGAAAAGCATACCTACACAGGACCGGCCCACACCAACCATGTTTAAATAAGTGAGCCCATCCCGACCTACAAGAGGATGCTGGGGATCCACACCCTCTTGCACTAAGGGATCTTGCCTTTCTTTATGGACCGTGGCACTCAGCAACACTATGTCCAAGAAAGGAAAGTTTTTCTTTAAAGAAGAGGTATTTCTCTTAATGATCAAGAGAAAAAATAATTCAAAGTTGTGTTTCATAAATCGTAAAGAATTAACACATCAACCTCTTGAAGTGTTACAAGAACAAATGGCATGCTGCTTCTTCCTAGAAGTCCCCACACCACTCAGGAATGATCTCACCAAAATGTTCAAGCATGTTCACACATTCTCAAGCACCTAGAATAACATGCCCATCTATAAGAAATACAGGACAAAGTACACTACACCACTGATATGGAATAAGGAAAACCCATGCTAAGGAGAAGCTGCAGAATAAATGATCTTGTTCCTTCAACAATTAAGTTTCAAAGGGAAAATCTAGGAATCCTATTTTAGGATCTTTTAATTATCATAATTAATCTTTGGGATGAAGCAATAGGGCATCTGGGTGTCAAAGTAAGATGTGTGATGTCACAATAAATCAATATGTTGTTAAAGTGGGGCACTGTAATGGCACAATGAAGCATTATGTGTCACAATGACATTGTCACAACTGAGCATTTTTGATGGCACAAGAGGACTAATGTCACAATGATTCAGAAGTCAATGTCAAAATGCAGCACTGTGATGGCAAACTGGACTAATGTGATGAAACAATATAATATTGTGATTTCACAATGGAGCATTTGATTTCAGCCTGGATAATTGTCATGCCGCAAAGTGTCATTATGATGTCAGAATATAGCATTGTGATGCCACAAATTGCACAGAGGTACAACAAGATATTATAATTCACTTTTATGATGTCACCACAGAACCTTTTGATGTCACAATGATATACTGTGATGTTGCTACTGGCCATTGTCATGTCACCAAGGATTAATGTGATGCCATGTTGAGCCAGTTGTACTATGGAGCTGCTATAGTAGAATACTGTGATATAACAAAGCATTATTTGGGAACTGTAATTGGGCACAATGGGACATTGTGATTACAAAGCTGGACATTGTAATGATGCAGCGGAGTATTTGGATGTTGCAACATGATACTGTGGTATCAAAACAGAGCACTGTATTCTCACATAGGAGAATTTTTAAGTCCCAATGGAACACTGTGACGTCACCTTGGAGAACTGGAATGTCACCGTGGAGTACTATAATGCCGCAATATCACTGTGATATCACACTGCATAATTTGATGATACCAGGGAATATGGTGATGCCACAGTATGTGCCTATATATGTGCACAGACTTATCACGATTCATCTGTCTGAAGTCACAAGTTTTCATATCAATAAAATTAGGTCATTTCCTTTAAAAAAAAAAAAAGACAAGTGAGTAGGTCAGTATATAACATATATGAAGCCACACTGTCTAAGTATTGGTAAGTTATCTGGGTAGCATATAGAGGATGGTTACATTGTTCTGCTTATCTTTGCGCATCATTTCATCTTATCATAATGAAGAAATATTTTAATTCACAAACATGCATGCAAACACAAAACCATAATAACTATATGCATATTGTAAAATTGTAAGAGATTACTATATTAATTTAAAAAGAAAATTAGGTCCTAATATAATATAATATAATATAATATAATATAATATAATATAATATAATATAATATAATATAATA